ATAAAGTTGAGTTGGGGGAGGCTCAAACACCATTTTGAGCTGTTCAAAAGCTTCCTCCAGGCTGCCATTTCTAATCATTTTCTAGAGAAAAAACACAGCTTTGTTTCCACCTAATGCTTTATTCAAATCACAGCTGAGTAATCTTGTGATTGGTGGTTGTGATGTGGTTTCAAACACCTGAGCTGGACAGGCAGCTGAGAGCAGCAGCCCATTCCGGGTGCTGTAGCTGCACCCGGTTTCTCTTTCTCTGTGTGCCCATTTGAAATGGCTGGTCTTCTTTCTGAGGCCCCTAGCTCTGCTGTGGGGAATTCCAGGCCAGAAGTGATGTGCTAAACTTCTGCTCCTTTCTTGCTGTCCAGCAGTCCTACCAACAATTTCTCCATCTGAGGCACAGCAGCCTCCTCATCTGGTTCCTTCTGCACCCTGCAATGGGACATCATGCAGTGCAGTCTCCCACTTAAATGTCTCCAAGCTGTTCTTGGAAGGATGAGGCATTTGAGCCAGGAAGAGATTAAGTTATTGGAACTGAGCAAAAGCAATTTCTATGATGAGTGTTTGCCCTGCAGTTTGCAAGTCAAGCCTGTCCCTGATTCAGGTTGACCCGAAGATGGCAATGTCTGAATAACTGTGCTGGCTTTTCTTGGAGGAGCTGGGCCCTGATGTACTGATCTCTTCACACACGTTTGCTTTCTCCATACAGGACTTCCTCAGACCTAAGTCTTCTAATTCCTGTGTATCAGGAATAATGCTAAGCAGTGGTGTAACATGGGTGTAGGTGAATTATTGACTACATTGGTCTAATTTAGTCTTCTGTGAGAGTGTCGTTAGGCAGCACAGCTCCAGTCAGGTGCATGGCAACTGCCGTGGAGCCCATTCCCTCTGCTGTCCTATGAAATGGATCCACTACAACTGCAAAAGGAGTTTTGCAATGATTTTTTTTTTTCTTGTGTTGAGATTTTCCTTTGTGCAGCAGACAGATGCAAACACCCAACACCCTCATGCTGCTCTTTAGGACGTGTCTGGGCCCCCAGCCACACAGCAGTGTGACAGAGCAGCTCCTGAGACCCCAGTGAGGATCTTGCCCCTTTCTATATTGATTCCCAGACCAGCCTGTTTCTGCAGCGAGCCCGGGGGAAAGAAGAGCAGTCATGCTGAGGGAAGAAACAGCAGAGACATAAGCAAGTGATGGGTGGGCTGAGAGCAGTGGTTGAGGTTACTTTCCTTTCTGTGGCAGTGTGGTTGCAGGAAAGCTGCTCTGAGCTCCGGGGTGCAGCCATGGAACAAAACTTGCAATCGGTGAGAGTTGCAGCAGCCTGAAAAATGGTGTCTAGGTAAATCAGCAGAGAAATTTTGCTCTGCAACCCCTTCCTGTTCTCACTCTCCCTGTTTTTCTCCCATGAGTAGGAACTCACTGGGTTGGTGCACGTTGTTACCCACACAGCTGGTAAGCAATGGGAGGAACAGGCTGCTTTTTCACACTGGTTGCTCTGAGGTTTGCAGCAGAGTTGGCCACTGTGCAAATGTAGTGAAACTTTGAGTTGCAAATCACTCCCCAACTCCCTTCAGGAGCTGTGTGACACCTTTGTATCATTGGGGGCTGCTGCAGGTATAGGCATTAACTCTGCTATTTGGGCAGCCTTGCATCATTTTCCTTTGCATTGTCATCTTCAACTGTGTCAACAGATCCAACCAAGTATGGACAAGTATGGTTCTGTCCTACAGAAGGAGAAAACCCTGCAGGAATCCATGCAGCAATTTGCTCAAAATCAGAGAAAATTGGTGCTGGTATCAGATTTTCAGTTTGAAGGTTTGTAATTACCCTGGTCTGAGCTTCATGGCATTCCTCTCCCAGGCATTGCCAGTCTTGATTTAATAACTCAATAACCCAATAAATAATATACACACACACACACACATGTTTTAATACAGACAGCTGTAGAATTGGGTTTATTTGGAGGTTTTGCCTTTTTTGTTCCTTTTCTTTTTTTCCATTTGAACAGGAAACCATACTGCAACTGAAATGAGTTGCTTTAGCATGGGAGCGGTCAGTGCTACGGCTTGTGCACACAAACCCTGAGCTGCAAGAGCTGCCTCTGCTGTAGTGCTGAGGAAGCAGAAGGGACCCAGGCTGCTGTATCTGCTGCTCCACAGGGTTGTGCTTGACTGCGGTTGCAGTGGCATGAATTATTGATATTTCTGTTAGGGTTTGCTGTTGGCACAGGAATTTTTAATGTTTTCCTGTGTTGCACTGTGGATGTGCTCCCAGGTCACTTAAGGGGCTGAGTTTAATACCTGTGTGTTTGGGTGACTGTGACATTGATACAGCCATTTCAGGGCTGGGGCTGCAAAATTGATCTATTGAATAGCAGTGCAGGCACAGCAAAAAAAAGCAGTGTCAGGGTGAAAGCTATGGAGGGGCAAGGAGAACACATTTTGGGGATGTTTTCAATGTGTCACTATGAAGATGATGAAGGGGTATGCAGGGATTTCTGAGCGTCCTTCTCCCTGCCCTCGCACTCCAGCATTTCCAGGCTGCCCTGTGTGTAGCACCTTGGGAGATGGTATTGATATTGTCCGTTTCTAAGACAACAACCTTGTGATGTAGAAAAGACTGAGCTCAAAATGTGGGTGTTTATAAACGAGCTTGTTGTACACCTAAATATGTGTGTATCTAAGAATGTATCTGTACAAAATTATATCAGACAGTAAGAGCCACTCAGCTGTGGAGCGTCAGATGCCATCTGAATGAGGATGGCACACTGGTACAGCTGATCCCCAGAGGGTATGGCTGGAGGCTTCCTGAGAAGTAGGAGCAAATGCATTGAACTCTCCTTGATGGGTCACATCCACAGGGAAAGCTCAGGTGAGGGGTTGCATCCTAAGAGGAGCAGTGTGATTTGGGTGAACCTGAGCTGCCACCAGCCCCTAGGATCCTCTAGGACCAGCAGTGAGCCTATGGAGATGCCCTTGTCGTGGACAGGCTGAGGCTGAGCTTTGCATTCTCACTGAGCAGAAGATTACTGTCGGTTCTGGATGCTTTGGTCCTGTTCCAACTTCCCTGTATTCCCCCTCTGCCCATCCACCTGTGCTGTTTCCCGGTTGGATGCTGGGAGCAGGATTTGCAGCGTTGCATTTATGTCATGGGCAGGATGGGAGCTGAGCGCTGCGATGGCTGCGGGTTGATCCTGGCTGGCTCCGTTCAGCACCTCCTCTGCCAGCCGCTCCCCTCTCATCGCTGACAACAGGCTCTGTTATATTTGATTTTATTACAAGATATAAATTTCTGTCTGCAGCCCTGGTTTCCAGCACGCAGAGAGGGATTGCCTAGCAACCAGGAGCACAAAAATTAAGAGAATCAATAAGACTTAATGGAAAGCTAAACAGAGACTTCACCCCCCCTTCCCCCAGCCGCTGCCCCTGATCAGTTCCCAATGACTTGCAGCATCCTGGCTGTTGCATGAAGCATTCAGCAAGTGCCTGCGCTGGGAAAGCTGCAGGGAGGGGACACTGTTGGGGCTGAGATGCAGGTAATAAACTTGCGTTATGATTTGGGTTTAGAGCTCTGCTCCTGTAAGTGTTTACACCGAGGAGCAGTCCCACAAACTCGACCTGGCAGGGTTTGGGAGGACTGGGGCTATGATGCTGTGCTGGAGCCGGCTTAACTCTCCGGCATGGATTTAAGCCCCTGGTGGATGTTGGTGCTCTGCTCCAGGTTAGTGTGAGGGACTGAACAACCAAGGTCGCCTGCAGGCACACACCAGCTGGAGGCTGCGGCTGCAAGCCTCAACAAAAGGGCTCTGTTTGGGATTATGCCTTCGGTTAGCATGGGAATGAGTTTGCAGATGTCATCAGCCTACACGTGTACAAGCAGCAGCCCTCGGTGCAGTGCTGCACAGAGTCAGCAAGGAGCAGCCTGACGTCAGTTGGGAACAATCAGAAATTGACTCGGTTACAGTCACTCGCCTGACAGCACAAATGCAAAGGTCATTCGGGAAAATGTATTTCAGACAAGGGGAGCATTGTAAACCTATCAGGCCATGATTTTGCTCCTACTTAAGGCTGCATGCAGTTTTCTTTGCACAAAACGCTTCCCGGAACCTGCGGCTCTGCTCACATCCGTGTAGGCTGGTGGGATCAAGGCAGTGCTGTGCTGTTGGAAGGCTTCCCAGAGCTGCATGGAGCTTCCAGGTGCTGCTGCCTCTGGCCCCACAGCAGCACAGTGGGGCTCAAGGACCACAAGTGGGGCTGCGTGGACCACATGCGCTCAGAGCAGTGTCACTGATGCCTTCAGCCTGTGTTTGAGAGGAAGGATTCTGCAGGGGTGAGGACAGCAGCCTCAAAGCTGCAGATCTGAACCCCTCCTCTCAGAGGGTTTCCCACATCACCGCCCCGGGCTGTTACATGGCCTTTGCCCCTTGGCCACATGAGAGGCGAGGGCGGCTGCAGCCCTTGGCCCCAGCGACGCAGCCGCGATGCCCCGGCGACCCTCACGTAGCCGGTGCCAGCGGTGCGCCGCATCCCCAGCGCTCGGAGGGGCGATGAGCACCTGGAGGGGCAGGCCTGCCGGGGGGCACGGAGGGGAGAAGGCGGTGATGTGCACCTGAGGACGGCGGTGAAGAAGAGCTGGTGTGCGGAGAGAGGGGGTTAGGGAGTCCTCCAAAAGGCGTTACCGGGAAAGAGGTGGCCCCGGCCAGCGAGAGCACCCCAAGGGCAGAGCTCAGTGCGGGGCACCGGGGACTGCGGGGCTCCGGCGGAGAGCGGCCGCTGGAGGTCGCGGGCGAGCGGCACGGGGAGCTGCCGGCCCCCGGGGCCCGGCGGAAGGCGGAACCGGCGCCGTGCCCGGCCGGGAGGGAGGGAGAGAAGGAGAGAGGCTGCGGGGCGAGGAGGCGGCCGCGGCAGAAACCGCCCCGGCGCTCCCCCTCCCGCCGTTCACCTTGCGCGGGGCGAGGGGCCGCATGGAGCAGCCCCGGCGCCGCCCAACGCGCCGCGCCCCGCGATGAAGCGCCGCTAACCGCGGCGGATCCGCCCGCAGCCCCCATGGCGAAGGAGAGGAGCAGGAAGGCGCTGGTCGAGCTGCTCCAGCGGCCGGGCAACGCGGCGTGCGCCGACTGCGCCGCTCCGGGTAAGCGCGGGCGAGGGCTGCGGCACCCGCTCCTCCCCGGACCCCGGTCCCTACCCCGAGCCCCCGCCGACACCGGGTGGGGGTCTCGGCTGCGTCGCGGTCGCCCGCGGTGCCGCTGCTGGACCGCGGTGCCGTCGCGGCGGGTCTCCTCCGCCCCGCTGCGGCGCAGCGCCGTGCCATCGTGCCGCCGCCGCGTCCGTGCGGCAGGACAGGTGTCTGCGCTCCGACCTCCGCCCGGCGCTGCCGCTGCCGTGTGCGGGCACCGCGCGCCGCTTCAGCACGGGGCTGCGCCTCTGGGAGCCGGGCTGCGGGGGGGGACGCGGCGCTGGGCTCGGCTCCTCGCCCCCTGGGGCCGCGTGCGCCGTGGGGGAGCGGAGCCCGGCCCCGGCTCTCGCTGGGCACCGCCTGCCTGATGCAGCAGGACTGCCCGGGGGGGTCTTAGAAAATCGCATTGCCGCTGACCCCCTCCCCCATCCCGTTTTCTTTTTCCTTATTGCCGCATGGGTACACCGAAATGTGCGTGAGCTTACGTGGCTCTAAAGGAGGTGTAGGGATGTCCTTTTCAACCTCTGCCGCCCTGTAGGTTAAAAATAACCAAAAAAAGAAACAAAACCTACTTCAGCTGTATCTTTGCTTTTTAACCGTCTGGGTATTGATTTATTGGGGATTTCAAGATCTATCGGGTGTCACCAAACAGCACGAACTGTTACCAGTGGCTTTATGCCCCAGTCGACATCTCATGAAGCCGCAGCTCACGCAGCCCTGTGTCCCCAGTACCAGCTGGAGAGGACAAAGAACTTTCTGCTATTTGGAACTGCTGTGCAGCTCTGCTCCCACCCATCTGCGGGCTGTGGGGCTGCAGCTGCCCACCCCCAGCTGCCATGTGGGCACGGCAGTCGCTGCATCCCTACAGTCTCCCTTCCCGGAGGAGACACAGCGAGCCCACGCTGTGCATTTCCATGGGGTGACACTTCCTTGCCCTGTGCGTAGTGCTAAGCCCCTCTGCAAAATGGGGACTTCATCACATAGATAGAGACGGAGCTGTAGGAGAGTAAAACAGCTCACACTGAGGGAAGATGGTTCTTGTTAAAGTCTTTAAATGGTTTTGTGAAACAGCAAAGCCATTTTGCTTTCAGTGACGCTTGCGTGCAGAGATGTCGTAGTGAAACTCAGAGAGGATTGGGGCCAGTGTCTTTTGTTAGACAAGATGTGCTATATTAATACCATCCTGCCCTCTGTCACAGCATTACTTTCTTGGGACTGCATCGCTGTTCTTAACCCCAATTTTTTTAGCCATCGCTTTGCTTTGGTGTCTTTGGTAAAGGTGAGCTGGTTGCTGTGCTGGAAAGTGCTCATCTGCTCAGGGTGGCAGTGGGGATCGGCTGCCCTGGGTTGTTCTGTGGGGGCTAAGATGCATAATTGGTATCTGTGAGTGACACTGAAAATATTCAGTCTGAATCCTGTTACTCGTCCTGGGCAGGGACAGCAGGCATCTTTCTGAGTCATCTTTCTGAGTCTGGTGATGTGGGACAGGAGCCTGGAGAGCCTCCAGACTGGTGCGCATACTTTATCCATTGAGAAATGGGATATGCAGAGAGATAAGGATGAAAGTTGGTGCCAGGCAGACAGGTAGCGACAGAAAAGTGATGAAGCAGAGAAGGTGAAGTGAGAATGGAAAGAGTGGAGAACGAACAAAAGATGGGAAATAGCACAGAGCTGTGTTCCCATGTGGTTGTGCTGCTGATGTGGTGCAGCTGGGGTAAGCAGCAGCCAGGAGCCCTGATGGTTATGGTTGCTTCTCAGCTGAGCGTGTTCCTTTCCCTGAAATCCTGAGCTGGAGCCATGGTGAGAGAGTCACTCAGAGAAGGGCTGCAGATGACAGGGGCTAGGATGGGTCTGAGGGATAGCAGGTGGAAATTTTCTGTCAGCCAGTTTACTCACGTGTTTGGAAACAAGCTGGATTTTCGTTTGTTCTTGGGAGTATTTCTTTCAGAAATTGACCCATCAATAGGAGCTTTTTTCTCCCTGCTGTTAAAAAACAGATTTTCTTTTGTTAATGTGGCTCACCTGGGTGCCAGAACAGCAGCCACAGCCCTGGGCTGATGGCTTGCCCCAGGTGTGACAGGCTCACTAACTAAAGCTGGGTTCCTGGTGCAGATGAGCTTGCACTGCTGTGACAAGGCTGTGACCATGCAAAAAATCAGCTCCAAAACAGACAGGGAGCATTGGCAGTGCCTGTTCTCTTGGTCTGCTTAAGGAATTTTGTCCTCTGTGGGTCATCTCTTGGCTGGATCCTTGGTGAGAGCTCCGCAAAGCCTACCCATAGTCTGGGTCTGGGCCAGCATTTGCCACTTAAATAATCCCAGCTGAACATTACCGACGTATCCTGATCCTCAAACCAAGGCTGTTTGCTGTCAGATCTCGAATGGCGCTGGATCTGATGCTCAGAAAGGTCAGGTCTGTGCTCTGTGCCTTCCCCAGGGCTGGCAGGAAAATCTCCAGTGCAAAAGCAGATCTTCCATTGAGTTCTCCCAGACGAGGTGTTGAGGGCATGTCTCGGGCTGAGGGAGCAGCAGGGTCTCTGGTCTGGATGGCTGGGAGTGTGGAAAGGATGCTAACGTCGAAACTGAAAATGAGAGTGATGAAAAAACCGCTGTGGCTGCTTCTCACTCATGCAGCTCGTGTTTGTTGAAAGGCTTCTAGTTTGGTTTTCATTACTTTGTCTTTAAAGGACCTTAGTCTGCAAGGAAAGTTCTGAGTAAGAGCAATACTGAAGTTGCAAAAATGTCTTCCATCTGTAATGGACGAGGCTGTGTTGGCTGCATTTGTGAGACCCAATGGTGGGGTTGGAGTCCCCACAGTGCTGTTACCTGCAGCATGGGGTGCTGTGCTGTCACTCTGGTGATGGAGGTTGGGCTCCCAGGGGCTGATTGGCAGCATGGTTGTTTGGGTGCGTTACAGATATGCCTTTTTAATTTTTTTTTCCCCTAAATGATTCTTTGTCTCAGGCAATCTTTCCTCACATCATGAGATGAATGATTATCTTGGAGCACAACAAGACCTTGAGTATTTCTCTCTTTGTTCCATTTCTCTGGGACTTAGGGTTGTGTTTCCACTGAGTGAGGTTCATTTTGCAGTGCAGGAGGACAGTGTGTCTGTGAAGACATAAGTAGAAATCCCAGCAAAGCAGTCCTGCAATTCAAACCCTCTAGCAGTTCATGTGTTTTTTGATATTTTTTTTTTAACATCATTTCCATCTTTCTAATTTGGGGTGGATTACTGGAACCTGGATCCTCAAAGGAGAATAGGGAATATCAGCCTTTCAGTATGTGGGGCTTGCATGGATGGGGTGGAGAAGGAGCAGAGACTGAGTGATAGAGAGGAGTCTCAAAATGCAGTGGGTTTGGTGCTGTGCTATGTATCAGAGCCTGAGGAGGAGGATGTGAGCTGAGGTGGATTGCAAATACCCTCCTGCAGCCCAGCACTGTGATTTCTGGAGCAGGTGAAGCTTTTCCATTCCCTTGATTTCCTGAAGTAAGGGTGGTGATTAGAGGAGAACAACTGAGTGCCAGGGATCGCTTGATTTGCTCTGGATTAAGGAGGGCATGGAGAGGGTTGGATCTCAAGCCTCATTCCCTATCCACTCACTGGTCTAAAAACAGCTATTTGAAGGCAGGTGACTGAGCCATCCGGTCCCGTCATCCACACTGACATCCCATCCCTCTGAGGAGCACAGGGCTGTGTGCTGCAGCTCGTGCTGTCTCTTTGCCCCCACCACCTCCCACTGGAAAGCTGTTCTGCAGCTTGCTGCTCCAATGCTGTCAAACGGTCTTTTCATTCTCAAGCTAAAAGTGGAAACTTGTTCCCGCACCTCCATTGTCCTCCAGCTGAAATGGTTCTTTTTCTTCCCAGGAATTTTCCAGCTCTTCTACCTCGCAGAGCAGAGGGAAGGGTGCTGGGGGTCTCCCATGGCAGCGTGCTTAGCTTGGTGCCACCTTGTGCAGGGAAAAGGAGCTTCTGGAGCACAGGGCATTGAGAGGGGCAGCTCTGTCTGCCTGCTCCTGCTGGAGCCTGATCTGAATCCAAAGCCTTGGCAAGTTTAATGCCTTCACTGAAGAATTTTCCTCCTTAGAGAGGAGTGCTGGTGGGAGGCTGGCTTCAATTTTAGTGTCTTTTATTGTTATTTTTAAACATGCATGACCAGGGCCTGCTAACTAACCTCGTCTTTTCCCAAAGTAAATAGCAACAGAACTGCAGTGCTTTGCACGAGGTTCTCCTCATTGTGGTATTTTGCAAACCAGCAGAGTGGCAGCAGAAAGGCCTTTGTTTATGTTGATTGCACGGAAATCCCTGTGCTTACATCTATGACAGGACACATTACCTTTCTTGTGCAGGATGAGAAGAGGCTCTGCCTTCCTGAGGAGGTCCTCCTCTCTCTTCTGGTTGCTCCTTATTGCCTCAGACAGGAGAAGTTCTGTTTCCTCCACATCCCTTCTTATGCTCAGTGATGTTGGGTTGAAGCTGCAGCTGGTTTGCTGAGTGCTGGGTTTCCCTGGGCCTTGTCATAACAGCCAGGGCTGGTTTCTGAGTTAAGCTGTGTGACCTGAGTGTTCCAGTTTTGTTTTGGATGCTTCTTAAGCTCTGGCGGTGCCTTCCCTTTCAGATGAACAAATGTGAAGAAGTCATCCTCAGTGTCTTTCTCTGGAGTTTAGCTTTGTTCATCTGTTTATTTATCTTAAATGAAGCTGTTTCAGGTTTTTATTTTTAAAGTTGTTCTGATCTGTTTGCAGGTGATAAAAACAATCTCTGCCGTGTTGTGCCAAAGTTTCCTTTTCCAGCTGTGTAAAGACATAAGGATTTAATCACATGCTTGATAAAACATTATCTCAGAGTCTGTGTTAGCAGTCATTTGAAGAGTTGAAGCCTCTGATTAGACAAGGGTTGGAGATCTGTTGCTATTTGCCATAAACTGGGTTTTTTTTTCATGTTTTTTTCATTTTTGTGCTGGAGAGCAGAAGTGAAGACAGAGTCTGGTATGGTTGGGGAACTCTTTGCTGCCATGATCTGCTACCAGCCCCTGCATGTCTGTGGGCAGAGGCTGTGCAGTTGGAATTTGCTGACAGTTGTGTCACAGTTGTGTGGGGTGTGGGTGCCAAGGGGACCTCTGGAAGATGGGAAGGGGAATCCTGCACCCTACTTACTGCCTTTGGACAGCATGGGGTCACAGGGATGCACCAGGATGAGTGCTTGCTTGGGTTCATTACCCCCTGCCTTGTCCAGATGATGCTTACAAATTTGCTAATTGTAGTGGAAATGTGAAGTCACGGCTGGAGGCAGTGATGGAGCACCTGGTGGGAAGGCAGAGCCAACCCAGGGGAGCTCGGGTACATGCAATGCAATGTCCAGAAGGGTGAAGCCAGGATCCACCCCGTCCCAGCCCTCATTTAAGGGTTGGCAGTGGAGGTGAGGGTATCTCACTGGGGAGCCCTGCATGCCTGAGCTCTTCCAGAGGTAGGCAAATTTTCTTCCTTTGTTTGTGCATCCAGAGCTGCTGCTTTTGGGCTTGTCCTCATTTGCTGCAACCAAAGACTTTGTCACCCTATTATTTTTGCTATCCTTTCCATCCCATTTTAGCATTACACTAATAAATTATTTTACCAGTGATGTTTCGGAAAAACTTTGCTTGGCATTTAAGCTGGTTTGGGGGTATTCACTACTTAGCAGTTTCTTGGAGGGTGCTAACTCAGCTCCTGGGGCTTTCTGACCTGCTGACAGGCACTGCTGGGTGCACCCTGCCTGTCCTGCAGTCTGTCTGTATGCTGGGCACTGCCTCGTGGCAGCCGCAGCTCTCTGAGGAGGAATGTGGAGATGAGGGATGGGTGTTTGAAGTGCTTTGTGTGAGATGTCAGCTCAGGGCTGCATGCGGAGCGTGGCTCTGCTCAGAGAAAGCACAGAGCTGCTACAGCAGCCTTTTACCATTGCAGCAAGGGATGGGGCCTGGCCTGGCCTGGCAGCCCTTTCTGCATTCTCTGTGCTGTGTTCCCACTGTAAAACAAAGAGAACAACCTCCCAGAATAAGAACAACCAAGGCAGGGAAGCAGCACAGGGGTTTCCCTGAGCTGCTTGTTTTAATGGGGCAGTTCCTGCTCTGCACAGTGCTTGCTGGGTGGGCTCAGCTGGTGAAGGCTGGGCGTTTTGCTCTTCGTGTGAGTGAGGACTGACTTCTGGGGGAGTCTTGTGTGTATATTCTCTGTGTATTGAGTTTCTGTGAATAAGCATTGCTGCTGGGATTGGAGGCCTGCTAACAGTCATACTAATTATACTGATAACTAGTATAAACTAATGCATATCTTGTGTGCCTTTCTGATGCCTTTCCTATGATGGAACTTGGACCCAGTGACTCCAGACCTCCTCTGCTGTCCTGTCCACCTCTCCTTCCTGTGCTGAATTTGATTGACCAGCCAAGTACTGTCTCCTCTCCGTTTTAATTTCAGATCCAGACTGGGCATCTCATAGCCTAGGGATTTTCATCTGTTTGAACTGTTCGGGAATCCATCGCAATATTCCACAAGTCAGCAAGGTGAAGTCGGTCCGTCTGGATGACTGGGATGATGCTCAAGTGGAGGTATGTGCACCTCAGGCTTGAAATGCCAGCGAGCTTCTGTCATTGCATTTCACGTCACTGCTCTTAACACCACCTCACCAGCAAAGCAGCAAAACTGAGTCCTGTCCAAAGAAGGTATGGCAAACATGATCCCAGAAGGCATTTCTAAATGGAAGTCTGTGATGTCGTACTTATGAGATCTGATTGAAAAATGGAATAACTATTTCATGAAAGGGATGGGAGTATTTCCTCCACCCGTATAAATGAGCGTGGACTGTGTAGAAATTATTGATCCTAAATGAACTGTCTTCTGTTTCTCCTGTTACATCCACTCTCTCCTGCCATCCTTGCCCAGCTCGGCTGTTCCTGGCTTTCTTCCACTGAGTTCTGAAGGCTTTTAAACTCAATGTCATGAAGAACTGTACCCTTGCAATGTAAATCCTCTCTATTTATGCAACCGAACAGATTCTGGTGATGTTGCTAAGGCGAGCCAACTGGGGCACCTGTGTACTTTGCCTGTTCTTATCTTTAAGGGCACAGAGAATGATTGCAGTCATTGATTTTTACGTTTTGTTTTGTAGATTTGAGGTTTTTCAGAGAGCCGCAGCTCACAGTCATGTGTTCTATGAAAAAAATAGGCCTTTGTGTTGCTTGGGCTTTTCCTTCCCTGATTATTTTGCTTTTTGTTTGAGTCAACTGAATATATAAACTCAAGGACCTCAAAAACATGAAAACAGTGGGGAAAAAAACCTTGGAAATAAAGAAAAATACAGGCTCACCTGTAGTTCTGGTTGTACAGTTGACAAAATGCATTGAGCACGGCCTGCCTGGAAGAGGATGTTTCTCTTAGACTTATAAACTGACTTTAATTAAATAAAATTTATGAATAGGGAAAGATGTGGCCCCATCCCAATTAGTTCAGTACTCTGAGGAAGCAAAGGAGGACAAGGGAAATAAACCCCAGTTTAACATTTCTTAATTCTTTCTCTTTATTCTCTTCTCTTTTACAGTTTATGGCCTCAAATGGGAACAACGTAGCAAAAGCAAAATACGAATCGAAAATGCCACCGTTTTATTACAAGCCAACATTTCTTGACTGTCAGTAAGTAAAGAGCTTTGCTGGTAAACAGCTTTCACTTGTTTGTGCAGCTGCAGCCTCTGTCGTATTTTAGTTTTAGCGTGATGTGTTTTTTTCAGCTGCAGAGGGGATTGCATTCGTAGGAAGCCCTGAAAATCTGTGTTCTTCTGAGCGTGTGTGCTAGAATTTATTCCACGCAAGGGATCTTATTTAATAAGTCCTGTTGAGATGATGTGGAGAAGTCAATAGCTTGTCTGTTCCCCAGACTCTTTCGAGTTCCTAAAGCTACAGAAATGCCGATTTCCACCCATTGATTTCTGCCTTTTCAAATAGCCCTTCTGAACCAAAACGTAACTTGCTTTCCTGAAATAGGAGGGGCTGATTATTATTTCTAAGTGTCAGAATGGTAGATTTTTTCCTTCTTCTTCTTCCTTTTCTCTTGGAGTCACACATCTCTTCTATGGAGACAAGGGAAAAGCTGCTGTATCCTGTATGCTGTAGTTGAGCCTCCCTTGTTAGCTGGAGCAGGCCTTGCAGAGTGAGGCAGCTGAGCAGACAGGACGTGCTGCACAGAGCAGGGAGAGGATGGATGGATGTTGTTTGTTCCATGAGATCATTTTCTAGGGCCCAATCCCACAGTGCACCAATGGGGTTTTGTGTGCTTTTGTGTTAGCAAGCAGGTGAGCTGTAGCCTCCGAGACCCCCTGATAGTGCTGCTGGAGCTGCGTGTCACCAGGGGAAGGTTTTGTTCAGTGCTGTGCTGTGGCAGTGCCCAGTCTGTGTGTCAGGCTCTGAGATGCATTCAGCCATTGTAAGAGGTGCACTGAATGGAAATGTTGGAAGGACTGGTAGGACTCCCTGTGGGAGATGTTGGCTGTGGGTAGAAAGGCTCTGCTGTGTTTCCCCGGTCCAAAATCCCCCTGAAGATGAGCTGAAGGGATCCTGAGCACCTTTCACATCCTCAAAGTGACTTTGTATTCTTATTCCTGTATTTGCCTTCCTGCAGCATGCAGAAAGCCTTTTTTTGGAAGAGACAGGACACCTGTCATCTCTGTGAAGTATCTCAGTGGTGCATCCCTTCCCCAGGCTGGGAAGGCCCAGGCGTGAGCAGTGCTGTCTGGCCTGGCAGTAAAAAAACCATTCCTTTGTGCGCCACTGGCAGATCTCAGTTTTGATCTAAAATGGCTCCTGGCAGCAGTTTCCACAGCATTTATGACTGCAGGAACGATTTGAGCATCGGCCAAACCGGTGTGTGCTGTGGAGTGATGTGCTCTGAGCGCTGATCTTGCCAGGGTTATTTTTCTCAAGGAAAAAAAGGCTTGAACCTCTTACCTCTCCTACTGCTCGAGCACCTGTGCTTTGTGGGACAGAGCCCAAGGAGAAGCTGCCAGGAATCTTGCAGTCTCCGCAGTGTGCAGCGTTCATCCCAGGGAGGAGTTGATGCACATCCAGCTCTACATGGCAGCTCTGTTGTTTATTTTCTTACTTCATTTTGGAGGAAAACTAGCTTCAATGACAGCGGCTTTTCCCCTTTTTTGGAAGGATGGGGCTTTGGCTTTGGTTTTTCCAACTGGTGATGGAAAAATGATACCTCAGAGAGAGCAGATGGAGGAGGTGGAGGGGACTGTCCATTCTACTGCTCCATTCAACAGACTGCTGCTGGAAATACAGTCTTTCCTTAATTATTTTTTTCCTTTGCTCACAGTTTCTTACCATGTTAATTACGAAGACCTTTCTGTTCTAATTGCCAAAAAAATGACACCTCCCTGTAAGCAGCAGCCTGCCAGACTTTAGGTGGGCTGCTTAAAGCTTTTGGACTTGATCCCGAAAGCTCTGCATCTCTGTAGTTCGGGAACAGTGCAGTTATATTTTTCTAAGAAACACAAACTGTGTGTTTGCTGTATATCCCAACACCAGAAATACCAAATCCCGGCAGGCAGGTGCTGCAGTCACTTGAGTGATAGAGCTGTTGAAATGAAAGAGGGCTTGGGTTGCAGGGCCTTGTATTGGGCATGTGATGTCTGCCCTGGATTATTTATTACGCCTTCACCTCAAGAAAAATACACTTGAACAGAAGCAGAGAATTCTGTCAGCAGCACATCTAAAAGTCCCCTGAAGGCGTACTTAAAATGAAACGGGGATCAGATCTGAAGTCTACTGGAAACAATGTGGAGACTGTATGAGGGACCTGAGGCTTGGCCCTGCCCTCTGGTTGCCTTCAGATCCTGTAGATACCAGGACGAATTCCTGTGCCTGTTTAGATTCATACAAGCAGTGCCAGTGATGCTGGGGTTATCTCCGGACTCAACAGCAGCCTTTTATGGCAGGAGTGCCTGTAGCCCTTTGTAGCAAGGATGGTCAAGTGCCTACTCAAGCTCTCTGTTGCCCATAAGGAAGATGCTGGACTCCTTGCTGTCCTCTCTGGGTCTTTGTTTTGGTTTCTTGTGCTGGTTCTGCTTTCTATAAATAACAACTGGAGCAGAGGCTGCAGCCACTGATCTTGCACTGAATCGTCCTTATTGTGGACAGCTCTCAATGTGTGTTAATTTTCTGGGGGGAAATTGTAGCTGAGAGATCCTGTGTTTGTGATGACACAGAACAGAGGAAGAATGTTTGAAAGTTGTATGGGTTGGGAATGTGGCATGGCTGGGGTCTTGTCTACCCTGGGACTCACCATTGGGATCTCCTGTGGTCTGGCTTGAGTGCTGGAGAGGTTATCAAGGGATTTTTGCAGCTTCTGAGGACACCCGTTTGGACTAGCTGCCTTGTGGCTGATCAGTCTGTGCTCTCCTGCACAGCAGCTGTGGAGACGCTGAACCACTGTCATTGACAGCATCTTGGGAAATAAGTCATTGCAGAACAGGGTTCCCTAAGGCGTGAGACCAGCAGGGTGTATCTGTTGTAGTATTTGCATGATAGAGCAAGAGCGTTTTCCCATTGCTGCACGTGAAATTTATTTAAACATTCACATTGGAAGGCTTTGGAACAGATAAAGCTCCTGCTGATCCACTGAAGTCAGCTGGAACTGAGGGTGGTGTGAATTCTCTTCCTTGTCGTTAAATTCCTGATGGTCTGGTGGTTGAAAAGGTCCAAGTTTGGCTATGGTGATAACAAGCTGTCTGCAGCAGTGGGTTGGAGAATGGAGAGAACAGTCAGAAATCTTAAGTACTGGTGTTGATTCTGTGATCAAATTTCTGGAGGTTCCTTGATGAGTGGCAGAAGTATAGAAACAGGCAATTAACTGCTGCTGTCGGCATCATCAGTCTTCTAGTCTTAGAGCCTAACATGGTGTAGATGGTGGATCCAGAAAGAGCCTTCTGCTCAGCCCACAAATCTCAGTGCACAGCTCTGCAAAACCAACCTGAGCCCCGTGTGAGGATCTGAAGATGGGCTGTGCTCAATCCAGGGTGTAGCACAGGGTGACAGCAGAAGAGAGATGCCCCAGCAGCCAGCCACGTGCTCCTGGTCTTCTCAAGGCTTCGTGTTTTTTCCCACCTTTGTTCTTTCCAGGAGGCTGGCTGTGGCTGGGGTGTGATCATTCCATGTCCTCTTGTGCTTTCATTTTGAAGAGACCACCTATGGCTTCCTACTGTTGCTTGTCTGGGAGGTCCATAACACCTTCCAATGAGCTCCATGTCTCTTGAGTCACCTCTCACCTATGGGCCATCGTGTGCGTGCATCACACAAAGTGTACCACGTTTCTATTCTCATACCAACAGCTTTAGCACAAGGATCTTTTTTTCTTTTTCCTCTTGTTTGTAGTTTTGTTCTTTTCCCTCTTCATTCAGTGATGCCTTTTACTAAAGAATCCAGTCTGAGGGGCTCGGTTAGAATTGTTTGTACGGTGAGGGAATTTTGTGCAGAGGCGGCCTGGGTGGGTGGCAATGGGCTGTTGTGTTAAATCTGTAGATTTTCTTTAGTACAGTTCCAGTAAAATAAGATGTGCAGGGAAACGATTTGTTGTCCAGCAGAACATGGAAGAAGCTCTTGAATCTGGAGCGTGCTTTTTAATGTTTGGAAGACTTTTAAATCCCAGTTGTATTTTGATTGCAGAATTAATGGTTATGGATTCTTCCTTAGTTTATCTTGGACCATGCCTACTTCTCTGTGTATTATGTTTTTTTCCAGACTGCTGCGGGAACAGTGGATCAGAGCCAAATATGAAAGGAAAGAATTCATTCACAGTGAGAAGCAGGAGCCTTATTCTGCAGGTAGCCAAAGAAACTTTGGGCAGATCAGTGTTTTGATGTCCATTGCCATTCCTTTCCCTTGTTTGTGTTTGTATTTACTTCATATTGATTATTTCTCATATGTCGCTAACAAAGTGTGATCTTTAGTGAAGGATTAATCCTGGTGTTCCCTGTATTTGGTTAGAAATATTGGAAATGTTGATGCTGGATGGGAGAAAAGCGATTATTAGGAGTCTTTCTATTGACTTCAATTGGCTTTTCATCCGCTCTCAGGTTTGTTCCTGATAGCAGGAGGTGTAAGTGTGAGTTAAAATGGAGATAAGAGCGTTTGTCTCATCAAGGTTTCTTTTGCTTTGAAAAGATGAGGTAGGATTAATGACGCAGTGTGGGTAATGGTCTATAAGTGCTAAGTCAAGGGGATGAGATGCTTTCATTAAAGAAAGGCAGAATTTGAGGGGGCTCAGGGTTGGAATGGGCTTGTTGTGCAGCTGCACCAGCATGAGAACGAGCATTAACGTGCCTGAAATCAACTGGACACTGTTTTGCTATATGCAAATGGCCTTTGATTTATTCTGCATATTAAGTAGTTGACACCAGCTATGTGCATGGATGACTCTTGGATAATTTCATTAACAAGGACCATGTTCCAGATGAAAGGTTAAAATACTATTTTCATGCTGCTTCTCAGGACTGATAATAAGCAGGTAACTCCAGCAGTTGGCTGCTATTAAGGCTGCAATTAAAATCTGATCTCATACAGACTCTGTTTATGCGTAGAGGCTTTCTGCTCTGCTGTTTTGTATGTATGAAACCTGCACATTGTGTGCTATCTGTATTCGTGTACAGTACTCTGCACATTTTTATTCTAGGTTTTCAAAGCAATCTTCTGGGGTTGGACAAGTAGTATTGACAGTAAGTAATTGATTTCTTAGACAGATTTGGAACACATCTGCTGACACGTGTACGATGTTCACCCAGGAGTAACGATGCAATTTTGTACCGTGCAACTTTTAGCTGTGAAAGCCTGGATTCAGCTGTGGACTCTTCAGGCAGATGCCCCATTTTAAGCACACAGAGCGAGGAGTGCCTTCCTCTGCTGTCTGGGCAGAAGGGCAGTGGTTCTGAGAAATACTACAAGAGAGCTCAAACAGAAGCAGTAGGGTTTTCTCCCCTCTTTGAAGTTCAGCCACTGTTAAATGCTGGCTGTAGAAGAAAACGTAGCAAATCACTTTAAATGAACAGAGCTTGGAGGAGAAGGGGGAGGGAAGGCAGACTGGTAGGTATTTGTAGATTGAGTACTGATGTTTTTAGTTAGTTACTATTTTCTCTGAGATCTGTATTATCATTAAATCCAGCACAGGAGCTGTGTAAGAGGCCTGTGCAACACTGACCAGGACGTGATTTGTTCATTCTTCTGGATGGGAAATTCCAAGGGGAGCATTTGGCTGCTCCCTGGGGTGACCAGGTTTGTGTCACAACGTAACAGTGAGGAGGTGGGGACCAAGCTTTCAGTGCCAGCTCTTCCCTTCTACTTCACCATAACAGCTCCAAAGCGTGGGTGCATTCCTGTGCCAAACTGTGCTCCTTCTTTTGGATGATGTGGCATAGCTCAGCTGGGGCACTGCTTTTAGTTCTTTGGCTCTTAGGTTGGGATCAGCTGTTTTTCAGGGCTGTGGCTTGTGATGTTTGTGGTGTTGGGCCATCAGTTTGCCCATTTGGTGTAAAGCAGTGCCACCAAAGAACTGGTCTGAACTGTGCCACCCATAAATGCTCCAAGACAGACTGCAGTCTGGCACCTAAAGGAGCAGCTCAGCCATATCACATGTGCTGGCTCTGTCCATACCACTGCTGGCGGGGTCATTTCAGTTTGGCAGCAGCAGTTTGGAGGATGCACTCTGTGTGGGGCAATCCTTGTGTGCCTGCTGGGAGCTGCGGAGCATCTGGGCCACTCTTTTCTATTTGTGACCTCCTGAACTGCACGGGGATGCACTGGAATGGGACAGTAAGGCTGCTCTCCTGCTCACCTCACACCCTGAGTTTGAGTTTCATTTAAGTGTATTTCTTTTTATTTCCAGTGCTGCCTTAGACTATTTTTTCTCACCATTCTGAATTCCCTGAAGGAGTGTTAGATTACCAATTTCTAAGCATGAAACATTTTGTTGTTAATAGAGACGTCAGTATCCATTTTCTGGTGTTTGCTGGAAGATTTAATTCCATTTTCCCATCCCAAGGGCAATTTTGCTTTCTGACACTTGCTCAACAATTGCATAAAAATAAGAAAATGCTGTTTGTGAGCAGTTCTGAGTAACATCCTTTTCCTGGCAGCCTGATGAAGCCCTGGTCAGAACTTCAGTGTCTTGCTTGCAGAAGATCCTTTGGGGAGAGACTACCTGGAGCCTGTAGATGCCAAGCAGAAGCTATTGCATCCGAACTGACACACCTGGGAGAAATGAGTCCCAGGATGAGAGTGTCAGATGTGCAGCTCAGGACTAAGAGATTGCGTAGGGCAGCCTGCCAGGAGGACGCAGCAAACTCACTAGCTGCTGGTGAGGGATATAAGTGAGAGACTGAGCAGTGTGGGATGCAGAGGCAGTGCTTGGCCCTTACACAGCTGCCCCCAGGTGCTTGCACAGCCCCTGAACCAACAGGAAATTGCCCTGTGTGATGGGAGGCGATGCAAGGCAGCGCAGCTGGAGCTGGGAAGCAGAAAGGCACCTTGCTCATACAGAAATCCCTGCGATGGGCAGAGCTGTGTTCAAGCAAGCTCTCAATCCTCACCCCAGAGAAGAGCCATGGCTGCAAACCCGTGGCCCTGCTCCAGATGTTGGCTCTCAGGGATGTGCTGCCATACCTGCAGTCACAGCTGCTCTCCCTCAGTCCAAGATTTCAGTGCAAATTCCTCTAAAGGAATTGTTACAGTTCCTTGCTCCATAGGAAGCCTATGGGCATGAGCACGTGCGCTGCTTGCAGCTGCAGCCTCCAGCTCCTGTACCATGGCTTAGTTTTTCAATCTCTGATGGTTTCATTCCTCCTGATGAGGTGTTGTTAATGAGTGTGCTAGCACCATTGATTTTAGTGTGAGGAGTTGGTGTGAGTTCAGGTAGTGCAGGAAGATTAGTAAAGCAGTGATTAAATGCTTCGGTGGTCCACTATCGATTCTTAGGTATGTCCTCTGATATGTTTGAGTTCTTAATTCTGCTTTCCTATTAGGGCTAAATAATTTGATTGTCCTGGCCAGGCGTTATGAGGCAAAGCATTATTTACACACCAGGAATCACAATTGACGTGGTGTTGTTTTCCTCGTGACGCTGATGCATTTGTTGTACAACAAGACAGAGTAAAACTGATTTGGAGACCTTCACATTAGTGTGTTTGAGGATGATTTTATCCTTTCTGATAAATGAACTGTCTCAATTCCCGTCAGTCTCCAGCTAATTGTCCCCTCTCCAGGAGTTTAATGAGGCACAGGCACTGACATCTCATAGAAACAAAGGGTGCTATTAGTTGCTCTGAGGTTGGATTTGGTACTCCAGGTAGTTAACAGGTTTGGATGTCTTCCCCTGCCACTGATTGGCAGCAGTTATAGCAACACCTTCTGAAGGTCTTGGTGAAAGTTGCTTCATTTGAGTGCTTTTGATTGCTCTTCATCAGATGGGTTTATTTTAAGGGAAGGTATGGAGGAAGCAAAACAGAACAGTGGCTTTAGGTTTGGGCATTATGATATTATATATTGGAAAGGTACAGCTGATAGAATGCAGCTCAGGCCATAGACAGGAGAATGGGATGTGTGTGTGGCCAAGAGGAAGCAAAAGGGAGCCTTTGGATCCTGCAAACCTGGCTTTGGCTTCCGGTGGATCATCTGTCTCATTTACCAGCAGCATGCCAAGAGCACCCAGCTTTGGATCTTTGCTTTAACAAATGAAACAGGAGCACTGGTTTATACTTGCTGTTAAATCTCATAACTCCTGTCAGGAAAAATGCCCCAACTTTACAGTTAGGTTCAGGAAAGCACTTATCCCCAGGCTGAGCATGGCCAGTGCAGCCAGATGGAGTTTATGGGTATCTTCAGCAATGGCCAGTCTGAAGAGAGTTGGCACCTTTTTCTTGAAAACATTGGTCGTGTCTTTCTGTAATGTGGCATCAATTTGGGTAAGTCCTGGATGTTCATGGAAACCATGCAGGTCAAGTGCAGCGTTCCTCTGGCCTGCACTTGTTTCCTGCAGGGATGCCCTTAGTGCTGTCCTCTTCCCAAGTTTCTTGTGAATCTCTGTTCTGTCGAGATGGAGATGCTGTGAGAACCAGGTGAACATCATGGATACAAGGAGCAACAGCAGATTGGGCTGTGTCTTAATGACAGTAGTGGCCAAAGCCATATGAAGAATCGTTGGACCAAATACTTGAAAACATTTACACTTAAGCAAAGGCAGGATCGTGTCGTTTGGGGGAGAAAGAGCCTGACTCGCTGGTCTTCTTAAAGAGTCCGAGCACAGGAGAGCAGTGGCTCACCAGTGAGCTGCAAGTTTACAAGATGTGTGTACTGCTAAGAGATTATTTATGCCACGTATTGTTATTTAATAAGGTCATTGAGGTAGTTCAGTGGTGATTTACGGGCTCAGATAGGAATGTAGTTGCTTTCCAGCACAGTGTGAACAGATGGCGGGCATGGGGTGAACTTTGTGCAAGCAACAGCTTCACCGAGTGCAGCTTTCTGCAACTTTGCTGCAAATGCTGCTCCCATGTATTTCTTGCAAATAGGCCAGTGAGTCCTATTGCTGTTAATTTTGCAGATAGTCAATAACAGGAGCAGATTCACAGATAAAACATGCTGCTACCAAACCTGTATGCCACTCTGATTGCATCCTGCTAGGACTGGTGAAAGGCAGTTCTCCCTTACTCACAGCAGATGCTGTTGCATATCTTTCATGTTGAGACATTTGTTTTCCATTCGGGATGGGAATGCATTGTTTGCAGTGAGGAAGGATGTAAATACTAGCAAGCATCGTTGCTTTCGTTCTTTTGTC